TGGTGATTGATTTATCATACGATTGTCGGTAGCTCTCTAGATCATTCTATAAAATTTCTAGGTACATTATAGAAAGAGTAAATTACAAGCACCCTTCAGGTATGATCAAATTACAAAAAACAAAAACCCTTATGTTTGGATAATTACATCTACTCCTCAACTATGAATCTTCTTACATTTCCACCCTTGTGGTGTTAAATTCAACATAACCATCTAGATTTCGTGGAATGTTCTAGTTTTTACTCGTTTTGTGCAAAAATACAGTTTCTGAAGCACCACAATCTATATATACAAGCCAAAAAACACGTCTTATAATCATCAAACTTCAAAATTTGGAGCTCGAATGGGATAAAAACGGGTCCAAAATTGAAAATATTCCATATAATATAGAAGATTCCACTAAATTTGAAACCGCAAGGGTAGACGTGTAAGAAGATTTATAGTTGATGGGTGGTTGTAATTACCCAAACAATAGGAGGGGTTTCGCAATTTAACAATACCTCAGGGGTGGTTGTAATTTTTTTTTTTTTTTTTGTAATGAATGAATCGCAACCATATAGGTGCATTGAGTAAACCTACACTCTCGTATAATAGCTTGCAAATCATACGAGATAAGTAAACTAATTAATAACCACGATTAAATAATAGTTTCTCTCGGTCCCGACTCGGTGAAAACGTGCTAAATTATTAACTCGATAATTTAATAATTCGTTAAATTAATAGAATTTCCCTAGTCCCAACTATATTAATTTATAGATGTTTAACTATATACATATATATTTGCTATGAAAATTTACAATATGAAATATGTTTGGGCATGATATATAAATCTCAGAATCAATTTTGACTCATCAAATATAATCCCTCTAAATTATTAAGATTTCAAGAATCCATATGAAGGCCTAAAAAAAAGTGTGCCTGATTTCTTTTCAACTCAGACAATATCAGTAATTTCAAACAATACAACCCAATGTTCACATGAATGCGGTACCTTGATGATAGAATATTACTAGTTTAAGATTTGAATGTAAGAAAGAACTAATAACTGAAACTGATAAATAACATACATAAAAGAAATGCCAATGTCAAAACAAAATTTGTCGAATATTACACAGCCAACTACTGTTGCTTTTTCTTCTTGGGCCTCCTCTTTCTTCGAGGTTTTCTGACATCTGCGTTGGAACTTAGGTTACTGCTATTTCCGATGGGCAAATCGACCGGGAATCTTTTTAGGTTACTGCTATTTCCGATGGGCAAATCGACCGGGAATCTTTTTAGGTTACCACTCTTTTCGGTGGTCATATCCACCGGAAATCTTTTTAAGTTGCCGCTCTTTTCGGTGGTCAAATCCGGTGGGACCCACTTTCGGTTACTGCTCTTTTCGGTTGTCAAATCCAGCGGGACCCGCTTCGGGTTACTGTTGTTTCCGATGGTCAAATCTACATGGCCTCTCTTTTTGAAGGAAGATTGACCATTGCTAGTGGATGTATTGGTGAATGGGGATGTTTTTTCAGCTCTATTATATGATGACTTCTTGTCTGAAGATGCTGCAAATCTTGATTTGTGTTTGAACGAACTTGAAAACGGCTTGCGAGATGGAACGGGAGGTGGCATTGGAGCACGAGCTGTAATCTTTCTCTAAACAAACACAAAATTTTAATCAGCAATGAAATTAAATAAAACTTCAGAAATATAACTTCAATCAGTAAAATCAAGAACTAAATTGCTAACCTGAATTGCAGGTGGCGTTTTACCCGAGGTACTGGAGACTTGCTCCCTAGAGACAAACGAAATATAGTTTTTTGATATACATATAATTACCATTGATCTAATGTAATGGAATGAATAAAAGAATGGACATTTCTGTGCAACAAAAAAAAAAGGAAATGTAAAACAAAATGAATAGTCAGGAGACTCAGGACAAGTACCTTGTACTTTTGTCTGTCACCTCATCGTCAGCCTCAGCTTCATCGCTGGAGCTCTCGTTTAAGAAAAAATCATCGTCACTATGATTCAAGATCACATCATCCTCATTTCCTGTTTCTGTTGAGACAATTTTCAGATATTAAGTGTGACGAAAGGAAAAAGGAAACATCAATTAATAATATAATAAGTCGATTATATTGTCCCTCTTCAACACATGCCCGTTATTGATCTGGTGTTAGCAATTTGGAATCCTTCAGCAACTCATGAAACAAAAATTTGCTATTGGAAGACACATGGTTTATGCATAGGATAGCTATTAATTTAGACTTTCTTGATATTTATGACATTTGACAAGAGAGAAAACCGAGAAAATTCTCAGACGAATTCGAGTTTGTATATCTAAATAAATATCTCTTTCCTATAAATAATCAAGAGGCGAAGAAGTTAAAGTAAAAATGATTTCTATACGCTAGAAAGAAAGGTTACCTTCCAACTCCTTCCCACTTGCTGCAGCAGCGACCATATTTGCTTTAATTTGCTTCCGCAAGTTATTTCTCTTCTCGACAATTTCAGTCTTGTCGCCTCCCAGAAATAACGAAACGTATTTCTCAGTTTTTGGGAAGAACTGCAGTGTAATTTTCAGAAAATAGACGATTTAATAAACATTACTTCCAGCAGTTAAACATGCAAGCACAAAGCAACCCCCATAAAAATTCTTGAGAGAGAATATACCACACAAGGAAAAACAAGAAATTAAATGTAGAAAAAAATCAAAACATTTTTAGTTTACCTTAACATATTCAAGATCTTCTTTCAGTTTCGAGAGCTGATCAGCAATTTCCGCTTCTTGGGCCTCACCAGTTGAAGTGAGCTGCTGCTTTTCCAACCGTTTTATCTTCCGCTCGATCTTACTTCTCTCTATCAGAACAAATTCGAACAATATTGTCATTCACAAAACTTTGTAATATTATCCAATAGTATCAAGCAAGGAACATCTGAACTAAAATACAAATGAAACGACTGATCTCGATAGAGTAAAAAATTTACCGAAAAATCTAATCTTTTTGGTCCGGAGAAATATTTTTCGCTCAACAGCCACACGATTTTGAGTCTCTTGCTGTTTCTTGAGTCCTTCCAACTTCGTTGTTAGCGCTTCCTTTACTTCTTTCGGCAATTCCTGCATTTAGTTCAAGTTGAGACTGAAAGCAATACGAATGATAGAGAATAATCATATTAAAAAACACAACAAACTATGCATCGAAACTAACTTAGCAGTAAAAATCAAAAGAAACATCCAGAGAAACCAAGTTGATGTATCGAGAATATCTTGTTTTAGTTCATATCTTTCAACTTCACATAATTCTTAATTCAATTAGGAGGGCATTTTATTTCACCTAACTCAAATTTTCATCAACGAATCCAACTACAACTCAATTAAAACAAAGAAGACCATAAAAAATTCAGGAGTGGTACTCTACGCAACAATATTTGTACATCGCACCAATTCAGCAGCACCCAATACCACACTTGACCTAAATAACCTAGCCCCCACTTTCTTCCGCATATGCGCATAAAATTCATAAATATATATATATATACATTATATTACAAACATATATGTATATGTGCGTGAAATTAGCAAAAGCGAAGAGTAAGAGAGCTGAAAAATACTTTGCGGAGCAGCATGCGTTCAGTGGAGCGTATTTGGTTTTTGAGAGAAACGGCTTTGGATTTTTGGGGCTTGGATTTCTTGTCGATGGCTAGGGTTTTGGTCCGCCGGTTCCCTGCCGACTTCTTCCGCTCGGCGGCGGCGCCGCGCTTGTCGTAGCCCCCGTGCGCCATATTGGGTTTTATTTTTCCCTCAGTCTTCTGTGTTTTCTATATACCAGTTATACGACGTCTTTTTGACTGTTTTCCTTTTCTTTTTCTTTTTTCAAATTTATTTATAATAAAAGGGTAAATTACGGACAACTCCTTAGGTATGGTCGAATTACGAGAAAAATTTTCTTTTGTTTGGGTAATTACAGACACCCATCCTTTTAAATATTTGTACATAAAATTTATCTAATTCAGTTATCTACCGAACCAAATTGTATATTCAATTTGGTCAACGGTATGAAATGTTGCATACCGAAATTTCGGTTCGGTTTTACCGATTTAACATTCCTAAATTTACCTTTGGAGGGTATTTTCGTAAGATAATAAATACATAGTTGAGGAGGTGGTTGTGATTACCCAAACAGGAGGGGGTTTTCGTAATTTGACCATAACTAAGTGGTGGCCGTAATTTGCCTTATAATAAAATAGAGTAATATAAACTTTTTGATTTTGCAAGTTAAAAGGGCAAATCTTTAATTTGTAAATATCAAGACAATGTTTGGAAGCGTTTTGGATGTTATTTTGATTTCATTTTGAGGAAATATGTTTTGGGGTAAGAATTTGAGAATGAAAGTAATGTTTGTTTGTATTTTGGAAGGAGACAAAATACACTGTAGCAGTCAAATCATGTTTAAGAGTGTTAGAAAAAAGTATTTTTGAAGAAAAAAATTGAAAGATGAAGTAATGTTTAGTTGTTTTTTAGTGAAGACATTTTTTACTATAGCAGTAAAATCATTTTACTGTAGCAGTCACATCATGTCTGAAGGAGAGAGAAACTTTTGAAATTGTTTTGAGAAAATGATTTGAAAAGTGTAATAAATACAATTTTGTTTTGGAGAATCAATGGAAACAAAATAAGAATGCTTCCAAACATTGCCTAAGCTTTTGGGCTTCTATTTCCATTTTATTCTGGAGAAAGATGTTTTGGGAGAAGAATTTGAAAATAAAATAAAGTTTGTTTGTGGTTTGAGAGGAGATAATTTGTACTGTAGCAAGTTAAATAATGTCTAAAATGTGTTGAAAAAAGTTATTTTGAAAGAAGAATTTGAAGGATAAAGTGATTTTAGTTTGTAATTTAGTGAAGACAATTTTCACTGTAGTATCAAATCATGCTGTTAGAGAGAGAAAAAAATGAATTCTTTTTGGGAAAAGTTTTTGAAAATATTTCAAAAAGATAATTTTATTTTGGGGAAATAATGAAAAGAATTTGAGAATGGTAACAAACATAGCCTTACCAAACATAGCCTTATGACTCTCGTCCCAGTTGATAATTTAATATTGAAACTTGAATTTAAATATATTTTGAATAAATGGTTTGACTTTAAAATATTAATTTTAAAATATTAATTTTAAAATATTTATCGTATATTATATGATATATATTTTTTAGTATTATTTTTAATAATTAGTTAAATATCGTACAACGATAATGATACAGCACGATATGTGAATAAGCTAAGCTACAAAACCACTTTCTCTAAAATAAAATTAACAGCTTATAATCTCCAAAATAACAAAATTAATAATTATTATTAAATGAACTTATTCAAACACCTTCTCAGCTTTCTGGAAGATAATTATTCAATTTGCGATTTCTATGATAAGAATCAAGAATAAGAGGTAACCGATACTACATAACAACCGGTTGTTCTCCCTCGAGTTCAGATATAACAATCAACGAGTCATTGAGTTCGAGACTCAGAGGCTCCAACTTCGGAATCGGGTTTATAAACTGCAATTTTTTTTTTTAAATAAAGCTTAAAAAAGTTATATTTCGATCAGTACAAAATGTAATAAATAAAAATGAAGATCGAAATACCTTCTTGTTGTTTTTAACATAACCAATGGCAATTTCTCTACGTAGATTTGCTCTTTCCGATAGCTCGTAAAATGAAGCATTCTCTCCTTGTTTCATGTAAAAGCTAATATCCTGTCCCAAAAAAAAACGAAAAAAAAAAATGAACAAAATCGATTTAAGTTTTTTTCACAATTGAAACTATATGATGATTTATGTATATATCCTGGCGCATTATGCTTCGAGGTTTTCACCTTTACGTATATTTCATCTCCCTCTGCATTGAGAATATCTTTCCAAACATCGTTCAGTTCAACGTTTTCTGCCACTGTAATAATAATAAAATTAAAAAAAAAAAAAAAAAAATGGAAAATCGGTAATAAAAAAAATTAAAAAAAAAAATTAAATAAATAACCTTGAGCTGTCACAAGGCTCATTACTTCCTCTGCTGCAATGTATGTGAGTGATGGTCTAATCCTTGTAATCTGTAAAACCAAGAAACGATGCATGTTATAGCATCGAGTCGTTTTTTTCGATGAGGTGTCCGTGTAAAAAGTACATGATTGACATTACAAAAAAATATATATAATAATAATTCGCAGAAAGAAACTTTTACTTGTTTCCCCAATTTTGAGTCCACAACTTCAGCTACGAGATTTTGCGCCTGTGAGTTATCGAAAACGATTAGTATACCAATAACCAATAAAACATCAATTTAAAAGCCGATCGTAATATAATTCGTAAAATATTTTGAGCAACATTACCTTTACTCCAAGTTTACCACAGATATTTTCAGCAAGAAGAAGAGAATATGCCGAGTTTTTGTCTGCCCTCAAAGGATCTAAACCAAAAAAAAAATATTCCAAATCAAAATCAAAACCGAGCAATTTAAACAAAATCAATGTCGAATATTTTTTTACCTCCAACTTTCCACTCTTTATCAGATACTACAGCTATCGAAAACGGAATATCGACTTCTTTCTTTGAGGACTTTTGAATGTTGATAATGGTTTCCTCTAAAGTGTTATATTCCATCGGATTTCCAACCTGAGATGGACACGAACGAGAAAAGGGCACGTCAATAATATTTAATATTTAATTTCAGAACATTATTATTATTATTATTATAAATATTGCAACTTACTCTATGAGAAACTCGAATGTTTTTCAGCTTTCCATGACCAGCAAGCTTGAATGCCTTCAATCTAGCATCCAACGGAACATCCGACAATATTTCCTACAAAAAATAAAATCAGCATTATAACCGTTAAATTAGAAAATAATTTTAATTATTTATTCTATAATAAATATACCAACACACTGCCAGGTCCGAGATAATTATCGTATTCTTCGATCATTTCAACAACATCAGGTCGCCAGCCAAGCACTAGCACACGCTCTGTTGGACCCACACACCAATCAGGCGCCTGAATTTCAAGAAAATATCAAGAATGCCACTCAAAGATTAGAATACCACAATAACAGTTGGTTTCAAGCAAAGGGATAAAATCGTACTTTTGAATCTGATCTTTTTGGTCTTTTGACTATGTTCTTCAGCCTCTCTCTTGTAGCACCCAATGCTCCATTTAAAAACTCGCTATTCTGCTTTATGGTTTCCACATTATTGATCGAGTCGTCATTTTCCTCGAAAACGTGTGGGTATGATAGCTGTGGTTTCTTCGTACCGTGCACAGGCCCAATGAATAACACCTGCTTGTGCAATAAGTAATAATACTTTTAAGGCCATGATTAATTAGATGATTTTGAGGGTCGACCCGAAAATGTTATTTTTATCATGGCATATATTGCCTTTCCAATAATACAATCGGGTTTTCATTAATTTATTTAATCTTATCTTGGCTAATGTATGCTATCTTAGGAACCAAACGAGGCCTAAAAGGTTTACGACTAACAAGCGCATGTAAAAAGAGAAGCTTGTTTGTAATAAGAGTTTTTTAAGGTACATTAAATATCTACATTATGTTACGTACTTTGTCAGCTTCTTCCAGAATTTCTGCGTCGTTTGGGTGAAAATATACCCTTCCATTTCGATAAAGACCACACACAACAGCCTGAAAAAAGGTTATTAAAATTATTATAAAAAAAAAAAAAACAAATCAGCCAGTTTCGATAGATCAAGAAGTGAAGACAATTGTTATACTGGTTACCTCTTGGAACCCACGTCTCAACTCTTTGTAACTTAGCCCAGCTAAATGAGGAAAATTGCAAAGATTGAATACATTTTCTGCCAGATTGAGATTCGTATTATCAGAAATTAAAATAACTAACAATGTATTATAGATATTAAAATTAAAACGTAAAAAAAAATGGACGTACTTCGATAGTTGAGCAAGTGCTTGTATATTTTGATAAGCCCTTTTTGCCGAGAGCACTGAACAAACAATTTGGACGCGACATTCTCAACAGGTTCCACTTTCAAGCCCGAAATTGATTTCAAAAGCTCGCATGTATTTGAACTCGAAACCTGCGCCACAAGCAAGAATAAAATAAAGATTCCTTTCTTAATGCAAGAAAGAAGAAAAAAAACTATCTTTGAATTACCTCAACTATAGTAGGCACAGAGGCCATTAGAGGGAGTGGTTGAAGAGCAAGAACAGACAGAAATGCATCCGAGTCAACTTCATATCTAAAAAAACCGAACGAAAAAAAAAAATATTTAACTATGGAAATTCTCCACCAAATTAGTCTGTGTTAAGCAACTAATTAGGGTCGAATTCTTACCGATCTTCCTTTGTTGGAAGTATAATTATGGCACGAGCTTTATTCGCAGCGGCTCTTTCAAATGATTTTGTTAGACTTAAACTACAACTGCACAAATGAATGTTATGTCAGGCATAAACGAGCATTTTAGAACAGAAATTATAATCGAAAGATAGGTAAGTAACCAAAGAGTCTTATTTCTTGTATTTTGGAGTGCTCGGTCTTTTAACAATAGGAAAAAAGCAATAAGCCTCTCTAATTTTTAACTGCAAAAATTATTCTGTCGGACAATACACGCAGACGTATATAACAAGACATATAATAGAGTATACCTTTTGGTCAAAATATCAATATGATTGAGATCTTTGGCTATGTTGTCAGCAACTTTGTCCATCTGTTTTCTGGGAAGATCAGACAAAAGAAGAATCCTCTGTCTCCTGTATTAACATATACTTAGATGTAGGAAGCATAGCACTACATTTTAAATAGTATATAAATATTAAAGAAAATTAAAAAAAATTTACCTTGCGGTAGCAGTGCCTAAGCGAACGGCAAATTCGTGATACTTATTCAGCTGCTTCAACACAAAACTCAGACGACTATTAACTCCACAAATAATTATATGATCCGTTTCCAAAACTTGCATTTGTGCCCCTTCTCTGAGTCTGTACATATTATTCTGTCGAAAAGCTGAGAAGGGTTACGATTTCTACTAAGATCTAGCAAAACATATATATAATGTGCTGATATCTTACCCTAAATTGTTCGGTCATTGTGCTCAAAAGCCGAGAGTAGAATAGTATGCCCCATATAGCAAGAACAAAGCCAATAACGCGTTCGATTCGTGTCCTTTGCTGCAAATTGACATCAGGGAATTATTTTTTACAATTAAAAAGTCAATACTTCGGCATTTTTTCTTCAGCAACACATATGAGTGTTGCATTTTTATCAAGTGACACAAGATCGAATCAACAAAGACGAGTCACACTTTTAGGTGGGTGGAAGATGAACACAAACAAGCCCAAGCTTCCCAAAAGCAATCCTCGAGAGACTGACTGCTACCCCTGTACTTCATATAATATAAATACATTTCATTCAAAATCAGCTAACATGCATGATGTTGTAAAAGAAACGAAAGCATTATCATATATATATATATAAAAAAAAAACAAAACCAAAAATAAGTTTCATTAATTAGGATAAAAAAAGTCGTCAAGAACCTTAACAAAAACAAAGACTTGCATAACCGTGTTCAAAATCACATATTTTTCCAGTATAGTTGTCCTCTGTGGACCGCAGTATATTTTGATAATTATGAGAATATATTAAAAATTGGAACTTATCTACACGAGGGCTATAGAATAGTTTCTAACACTTCACTTGCAAATAGTTTCATAAGTTTCTGATTGAAATTTATGGCTATGGTGTTTTACTAGTTCAGTAGCGTAATATCAAAAATGCAATACAGAAAGTATGAAAACAAAGCATTCTAGTTTGACCTTGTGAAAATCATATCAAAGCGAACAAGATATATTGCAAAAAAAATAGACTGTCCTTTATACCATTATCAATGACCTAAATTTTCACGAAAGATTTGATCAGTACTTAACCTGAGCTTAAAGAAGAGAAAACCTCCGATAATGACAAACGAGAAGCAAGCCACAAGGAGCACAATAAAGAACCTGCAAACGAACATGCATTAGACATATTTCTTTGGAACTTACTAAAGATATATATAGATACTAAGATTGTATCGGAGAAACAAAAAAAATCAAACCGTGCAAGACACCGGGGCATCATCACTCTTAGTCAATATGCAAACTATATCTGAAGATAAACGAAGTAAAAAATACGGCAGTGTGCTTACGTGGCAACGTTTCTTTCGAGTTGTATGTTGAATAAATAAACTAAACGAGCGAAACTCCATCTGATATCTTGAAAAGAAGGCAGAGAAACATCCAACTGGAGCGGTGTTGGTTTACCCAAGGAATTAGACATGCAGGCAAAAGGCAGATTCGAAGCTCCGATTGTACGAACTGTATGGTAGAATGATTTTTGAACTAATTCCATAACTGCGTTCATGCTATTTAGTTGTATCAATTTAACTACGAGATGAGAACAGAGAGATGCCATCAGGAGTTTATCTCCGCAATCCTGCACTGTCTTCAATACCAACTGATCATTAGTAAAACTAGTACCCCAAATATCCTACTTACTGAATCAAATTGAATTTCCCGTTGGAAGCGACAGAGCAAGAGAAACCATGTTCGATTTTCTTGTTATAATATAAATAGTTATATTCATCACCAATTTATGAAATGCACGTACCTGAGAACAGTTTTTCGAATCCATCGGTGAGAGATTACATTTCACTTTGCTGGAAATTTTTATTTTCATCAAAGGATCCAACTTCCTCCATATGATTCCGGAACTCATCTTCCAATTTCCTGGAAAAAGATACTAGTGAATTTAAATTAGAAAATTGTGCAACAATGGCATAAATGAATAATCGGCCATTTGTGTACCCCATGAAATTGCTGATAGAAAATCAAAGCTAGCTTGCTGATAGAAAATCAAACCTCTCCTCCTCTTCACTGCGAAATTATCAGGATTGAAAGTTGAAATTGGAACCCGTCGGTTGGAATGCAGCCTTGACTTTCTGAAATTCACCACACCATTGTTAGATTACACAACAATACAAACTCAATATCTACTAATCAGTCAAACTTACAATGAGGAACGCATAAAAAGTACCATTTTGCAAACTCATGTGCGCTGTACCGAACAAATTAGAATTCCGACGAACTCAAAGAAATCGAATATGCGAAAATAAATAATTGCAAAAACCGTTGATTCATGTCATTAACACCAAACAAATAGAAAAAATAATTCTGCATGTTTTCCAATCGGAAGGTCAATTCATCTTATTACTAATCCAAATCACAATTTCGAGTCTTGAATCAATAAGTGAATACTACAAAATAATCTTACTTCCTCACCGCAAACTCGAAACAATAGACACGTCAACCTTAAAAAAGGAGTTCTCAAGAGCAAATGATCAAAAAACTGACAGAGTCGTTGGTTCAGAAATTTTAACAAACACAATGTAATCATGGACTTCGTCTCTGCATGAAACCCATTTTCAAACACCATCAAGATTAACAATTCCCCCACGTTCTGGAGATTTCAGTTTACCTCTTGGAAGAAGAACACAAATCCGATTCTGAATTTCTTGTTGAAATCCATGGCCGCAGGCTGTATAACTGCAGCATCTCTCTCACCCCTTTTTCCCTCTCTCTCTCTCTCTAAAAAAATTTCTTCACAGAATGTGGAGATTGCGCAGAAGGAGATGGTGGGTTCTTGAGGATATTCGGATTAAATAATGCATGTCTGAGAAAATTCAGCGGAGAAAAAAAAGGTAGAAGAAGCAGAGAATTGTGAAAAGTATATTTCGTCAATATACTTTTAATTTATTTTAACTTTGTCAATATTTCAGTCATATTTTTTCCAAAATAATTAGTTGCTAATCAAAAAAAATTGTTCAATCGTACTCATTATAATGAATTAATGTGCACTTTATACGACACAAATAGGGGGCTATTTTGCGAATTTTTAAAACTCGCCTAGAGCCCTCAGTTTCTCATAAATGGCCTCGTGATTCGGTATCTATAATAAATTATATTTCATTTGTTTGTTTCCATACAAATAGTGAGTGGTTTTATATTATCACAAAAATAGTAATATATTTAAATGATAGAGAAGAAAAATGCATAATATAGTCAATATTTCATCATAATGCCATGACTGTACATTCACATTTAAATTGTTTTTGCATGCTTGTCTTTTCGCAATCCAAAATATGCCATTGTAATGGTACCTTTCATAAAAGGACTGAAATTTAATTAAAATACTCGATATTCAATTGAAGATAGTTAATTTAAAAAAATATTTGATTTTTATTCAATCTATTTTATGCTTGATTGGAGATTAATATTATTCATATTTCCTTCACTAGTGCCATATTATTGTCGTACACGTGGTCCATTTTTAATGAACTATCAATTATGGCACGTTAATTACACCACCTAAAATTGTGATTGGTCGCTATTTTAGTATTTTAGTATATAAAGTATCATGAAATAAATACATGTCCACGTCACTTCCCTTTTTGGACTTGTTAGTTACATGATTGAATGGCTAGGGCTGTCAATCTGGTCACGTAAGTCGAGTTTTGGTTGACTCAAACTAACATATATCGGATCTTATTGCTATAAGCTCAAGTTCATATACTATCGGCTTTATTTTCTAGGCTCAAACTCGGTTTGTGTATTTTTTTTTCAGGTTTATGTCGGACTTATATCGAACAATTACATATTTTACAATTTTACGGTCGAACGTGTTAAAAATTGGGCTCAAACTCGGCGAGGTTCGTAGTTAGGTGGTGTTTGCAATAGCTTTTTGAAAGTGATTATGAACTTTTTTTTGCTCATAATCTGTTTTCAGGTGTTTGCAAAATCAACTTTTGCTTTTGCTTTTCTTAAAATAATCTGCTTTAAGCTAATTTTTTTAAAGCACCCATAATCATGTTTTTTCTATTTAAGTTCATTTTTCGGAATATTTGCAAACTCCCAACTTTTAGAAATAAACACTGCTTTTAAATAATCATTTGTAAACACCATCTTAATTAGGCTCGGCTCAAATAAAATTGGGCCGAACAATTAGGTTTTGGGAAGGCCCGACTCAATTGCCGGCCCGACAATGGTCACTAAAGTTGATGGTGATATTTAATGACGACAAAAATGATTTACATTATCATACTTTATTTCTAATAAATATTCTTTCTTTTTTCGTAATTAAAATCTGTACCAAAAAAATTGTTTGTGCATAGGGACCAGTTCAAAATTGGAAACCTATGTGACAATGACATTAGTGGTAGTGGACCAATAGGCATTACATTCACAACGTTTTTAAAATTAGCATATTAGTCCTTTTCAATTTTAAAACAACATTTGTTATATCTACATGGACTCAAGCAACCAATGAAATGGCTTTGCACGTGATTGCCTGATATGCGTACATGGGACTTTTAGATATGTCCGTAGCATTTTTAGCAAATTAGATCAGTACATATATTGTATACGTGGAAGTTTTATACTCCCTGATGATGTATATCCCTAGATGATTAATTCAATGAAGAAACACACTTCTTCCAAAATACAGTAGCTAAAGTCCTTACAGTAAATACACACTTTACATCTTTCAATTTCATCTGTAGCTTTCGTACAATATATATTTTGTAGTTTGCATAATTACAATATACATAATATATTTCGTCTATATACTTAGATATATATCTTGGTTCTATTTTACAACAACATTGTATTTCTTAAGGCTTATTAAAGTGGACTTCATTTCTTTTTTGGTAGTCTAGATTGGTATGACTTTTTATTTATTTATTATTTTCTCAGAAGAAGCAACGTTTAATTAAAAAGATGATTCAGAAATTACAATATCGGTAATGAACTTTTGGTAATTAACGAACAATACAAAACCTCAACCTTTGGGTTGAAAATTGAAAATTAAATAGTAAATTACAACCGCCCGCCTGAATTAAGGTCTATTTACGAACCCCCTCCCCCCTTTCCCATAATTACATCAACTCCTTGTAATTTGTAGATTTCTTACATTAACACCCCTTTGTTGGGTGAATGTAAGAAACTTACAAACTACGGGGGTCTGGATATAATTTCTCAAAAATAAAGAAAGTTTTTATAATTACAGTTTACCCCAGGGTCTTGGAGGAAAGTTTAGTCCATTATCAATTCGCCCAATGGAAATAGAAGTTGGACTCAGCCCATACTAATAATATTTCTCTTGGCCCCTAGTGCAAATATTCTTTTAATATTTATTTTAAATTTGATGACTACAAAAATGATTTTATATTTTTAATTCAAGGAATAAAACACTTTTATTTAATAATTAATAAACTAATTTAATTTAAAATTAACCCGACTCATGGAATCAGACAAGATCGTGGTTTCTAATGAAAAACACACAGATTTTATTAAGGATGATTTACACAAACCTACACCAACATTATAATATTTATATTTACACCCCCAACAAAAAAAAACACACCAAATTATCTTGCAATAACTTGTCTAGGAGAAAACTCATCCTCAGAAAAATCAAAGAACAAATCATCACTCTTAGACAAAGCATACACAATCTCCACCATACTCGGCCTCTTCGTCGGATCCCTATTCACACAAGCAACCGCCACCGCCACCACACTCACGACGCTCTCCCACGATGACATGATCGTCTCATCACCAACGAGGCCCTCGGCCATCCAACCCCTCAACTTCCCCCCCTTCCCCGTCCCCTCCAAAACCCCGCCCCCCTCCGCCCAAAGAAGCCCCCCCTGGTCGTCCACCGGGGCCCGGCCCGAAACCAACTCTAGCAAAACAACCCCAAACGAGAAGACATCCATTTTCGTGGACACAACTCCGTTCTCGATATACTCGGGGCAAATGTACCCTTTTGCCCCTACAATTTGTGTGGTTATTGCATTGCACCCCGATTTTGTGAGGCCGAAATTTGCGATCTTGGCACGCATGTTCGAATCGAGGAGGATGTTTTTGCTGTTGATGTCCTTGTGGACGACGCGTGGCCTAGTGTGCTCGTGGATGTATTGGAGCCCGTTTGCTATATCGATAGCGATTCTTAGCCTCGTTTTCCAGCTCAACTTTTCGGGTTTTTTGTTGTTCTTGTTCTCGTGGAGCCACGAGTGGAGGGACCCGTTTTCGACGTGTTCGTAGACGAGGTAGCAGTTTGATTCGACGGGGTCTATGCAGAAGCCCTCTAGCCTCACTAGGTTCCCATGATTCACCTACAATTTTCAAGAACTCGTGTTTTAGTTTTAGGAGGTGTTTGCAAAAACTTTCGACTTTACTCACAATTATCAACTTCTCTTTTACATAAGCTTTTGCAATCACCCTCTTAGCAAAAAGAAAAAAATATACACAATATGACAAAAATGTCCTCTAATTCTCTTCATTAGTTATTAGTTTTGTTTGAGAGAATCAATGTTCGAAACAAAATTAGTAGTAGTAAGGGCAAAATTGGAAAAAAGGGGCAACCAATGCATTATAGAGTTTCTAGATAAAAGGCTAATAAAGAAACAAAAATGCAATTTTCTAATAATATATTAAAGGGCAAATTACGGCCATCCCCTGAGGTATGGCCAAGTTACGAAAAAAAATCCCCTGTTTGGGTAATTACAGCCACCACCTCCTTTTAAATATTTTTACATAAAATTAATGTGATTCAGTTATTTATCGAACCAAATCATATATTCAGTTCGGTAAACGGCATACCGAAATTCGGTTTGGTATTACCGATTTAACATCCCTAAATTTACCATAAAGAGGGGTATTTTCGTAACATAATACATAGTTGAGGTGTGGCTGTAATTACCCAAACAAGAGGGGGTTTTCGTAATTTGACCATAACTCAGGGGTTGGCCGTAATTTGCCCTATATTAAATTATGACATATGAACGACCAATCATCTTCATTTGTACCCTTTTTGGTGGTGGAATCATCCAACATATAACATTATTAATTCATAACACTAACGTTGTCGTTTTCAGGTTCCTAGATATAAATTTATGTCCTTTTCTTTTCCTTGTAGAATATATTAATAAGACAAATTGCATTCTTAAATTACATGATTATGACAATTAAGACATATTATTTCACCTAATCATTAGTTTATTTAGGAACAAATTAAATACACCCAACCACTTGTTCTTCCTAAAGACAGCCTGAAAGTGACACCCCTAGTGTAATTAAGGTTGTATAGAGGTTGAAATCGGACGGATCAAATCGATTTTAGCACTTTCGGAGAAAAAAAATCCATTTTTTTTTTCAGAAAAGAAAAACTGATTCCAATTCCACTTAAAAAATCGGAAAAATCGAAACTTGAATTTAAGAAATTGGAATGTAGAAACTTTTTCGAAAATCGAAATTTTTAGGATCGGAAGTGGCAAAATTCGGACTTCCGATTTTTTTAGTCACCTATATGTATTCCAATTTTAGTCGATTTTTTTCTTCAGAAAAATCAGAACTTTCAGAATTCGGAATGAAAAATATTGTTCAAAAATCGAATCGAGCTCCAATTTCCACCCCTAGATACGGCAAAGCAAGAAGCTTTATCGAAAATGTCAGAAAACATCGATTTGCTTCGTTTTCTGTCGTTCCCGGATCAAACTAAATACTAATTAACAGTACTAAAAAAGGAAAAAAAAAAACGAATCAAGAACGACGAAAAGAAACTCGTTACGAAAAAAAAATATGTACCTTCTGCAAGATCTTGAGTTCCTCATAGGCATTCCACTTCATTTTCTTGATAGCATACCACTCTCCATCAATGCAGCCTCTATAAACAGAACCCTGAATTACACACCCATCATCGAATCCATTCGTCGCATTCCGTAAATCCTCGACTCCGAAAACTCGATACTTATCCAAACAATCCGAAACATCCGCCATCAAATTCACCTCCTCAGCTTTCGAAATTCCATTCCCAATCTTCTGCATTTTCTGCTCCTCTTCATCTCTGTATTTTCTCGACTTCATCGAGTTCTCTCTGTAAAACCATGTTCCGCAAATCGAGATTATAAGCACCCCACAAATTCCTAATCCAATCCCTAACCCTAAAATTGCACCCTTTTTATCAGTACTCTTGTTAGAGAGAGGTTGGGTGCCGGCTAGTTCTCAGGCCCCCCTGTGGCCTTCTTTTTTTTTTTTTTTTTTTTTTTTTTTTTTCTTTTT